CAAGTGTTTTGACATTGATTTCCACTTTTTGTGAATTGTTTTCTTTATCGAGATTTTAGTTGTTTAACTGAAAGTTGTGTCCGACTTGAGCCCATAAATACTAAACATGTTTTATGTGAAAGTTTGAGAAATTAGGAGTTTATTAACACCTTTTATGCAAATAAGTGCATAAACTAGGAATGAGTGACAGATTGACTATTAGTGGGAATTTTGCTCAAAATTGTGACCAAAATATCTCAACTTAACTCTAATATGAAAAACCATTTGCTTGTAATTATGTCATTGCCTTCGAGATTAAAATAATTTAATTTTACGTAAAATATAAGTGATTGTTTGCATGCATATATGATATCCCATTTTTTAACACAAAATAATTATTGTTTGAGATTTTGGGGATTTTAGTGAACAACTGATTCATGTATTCAATCATTTTCAATGACATATAATCTCATTATTTTAACTTTAAATTATAGAAATTAAATATTCATTAAAACAGGAGTGCTATTAAAAAATAACATTTTGAATCACCCTTATAAATACAGCATTCAGATTTAGAACTTTAAGAATATTTAGCATGGTTATTGCTACAGATTGTCATTGAATTACCTGGGTATAAAAGATTAAAATAGATATCATATTACAATTATATGAATATAAGAATATTTCTTAATTAAAAGAGTAAATATTTATTGAAACAATAATTATATGAATACAATTGAGAGAATACAGTGATCAGTGATCATGGTCAATTAACTTTCACACAATAGTTGTGTAATGATTACAGACTGTGGACGTACTAAATGGGAAATGTATGCAACATTGCGGTGGTGTTGAGGCAATAGATGTGCGAAAGTGACGGCAAATCGCGATCACAACGAAATCCATTCACTCTATGGATCGCTCACTCGTTGGCACTCAATGGGCGACAATCACTGCCAGTATTGGTGTGGGAGTTGTCATCGGATGGTTCTTCAGGTCCAGAATACACCACTCAATGGCCAAACACCTGCACAAGAAGTCGAAAGACGCGGTCGACCACGTGTTCAGCGAAGACTGTTTGGGACCCGAGTGTAAGCTCGTGATTGTGGTCAGGAGTGACCTCAAGATGGGAAAGGGAAAGGCGTGCGCACAGGCATCACATGCGGCTGTATGTGCACCACCATCTGGCCATTCATTATCACTCAGTTGATCA